CGAGCAGGAGGGGCGGGCGGCCCGGGTCCGCACCGCGCGCACTGCCCGGTGAGCCGCGCGCAGGGCCGGGGAGCTGCTTTCTGTCCTGGGCGAAGGATTGGCCCGGACAAGTACAAACGAAAGTGAGGATTTACGGTTATTAAAGAAAGCAGCGCCCGAGCGAGTCTGGGCTGAGGACAAGCAGGGCAGCGCACCCGCGGCGGGAGCGCCACCGGCGGGCAGCGGCAGCCGGCCCTCTCCCCTCCGCCCTCCCGCCGTCCTCGCGCAGAAGGGGCCTAAGCCCTGGCAGGGACTTCCCGCGAGAACTCAGCCGTCCGCCACGGTTTGCAGTGGTCTTAACCAAGTCTTTTCTGGTTTTTTTGGTACCGGGAATCGAACTCAGGACCTTGCACTTGCCAGGCAGGCGCTCGGGCCGCTGAGCTGTCTCCCCGGCCCTTGAGCCTTCGCTCAGGACGGAAAGAGCCTACAGAAGACCTGTGGACGGAGCCCCAGAGCTCGGTCGCGAGAGGCCCTGCAGCGGCCGCCCCGCCCCGCCGCCCCGCCAACCGCGTGGGGGGACCGCACGGCGCCGTGATGCGACGGGCCGAAGCGGGTAAGCGCGGTCAGCAGTGGGCGCGAGCCCGGGCCTCCACGCCGGCGTCAGACGGCGCAGTTCAGAGAGGGGGACGGGAGGACAGGGACAGCGTCGCGGGCAGGGGCGGCGAGGCCTCACGCGAGAGCGACCCGACCGCCCAGCCCCAGACTGCAGCCTCAGAACCACGCCCAGATGCACACCGGCCGCCGCCGCCCTGCCGCCCGCCCCCGACCTCCACAAGCTCCCGGCCCCCCTGGGCTGCGCACGGCGGCGGCTCGCGACCGGCTCGCAGGCCGGCGGACGCGCAAGTGTGTCCCGATTCAGTGCCTTCGATGCTGCACCGGGGCCCTGGTTTACAACGACTTATTTACAGGTTTTGGAAAAAAAAAAATGCAGGTAACAAAGTCTGCTGCAACTGTTTATTATATTTGAAGTCTACAAATTTGAGCTGTTAAGAAAGTCACAAAATACTCATTTGTAATCATGTAATCATGTTTGGGTTCATCAAATTTCCAATATATTTTACTGTGTTGAACAATGTATTCTAATGCTGTCTAAAACACAGCCAAATTGTTTTTATTGATTTGCACATTTCTATAACTGTTTGAAAACCAAGATTAAGATAAAAAAAATAATAAAGCCACCCAATTACAATTTTCCCGTACTCGAACTATTTCCCCCAGCTGTTCCCTTGCCCCGCTACTCGGCCTTCATCCCGAAGGGGCCCTGATGCGCCGCACACCTCGGGGGTCTTCAGCTTGCATTTCTCATGAATTCACACAGCGACGCCCCGGCAGTGTGGAAGGCTCAGCCTGTTAAGAGCACTCATTGGAAGGTATTTTTAATCTTCTAGAGCATACAAAATAATTTACAAAGAGACAGATGACTTTAAACGTTATTTTGCAATCACCTCGGTGCCTGGAAATCTGACAGCCATTTTTGCTCCACTGTTCTCATCCCTGGCCCCCCTGTCCGTGAGGCGTGGGTGTTGTGCAGTTTCTCAGGCCCATGCCGCATCCACTGACCCCGGGGAGCCCTGCCCCCCACAGGAGCTGCCAGTCTGGAAGCGGGGAGCAGCGGCTGTGGGAACTAAAGACTCCAGGAATAAAGCAAGTGTGTGCGGGGCACAGCAAGAGGCCTGGGGCGCAGGAACTGACGTCAGCCGGAAATCACAGTAGCACTTCTACTACAGCTCAGAGGAGCACTAAAGCGGAGGCAAGGGTCTGCCGTGTGGAAAGGCCAAGAACTGTGCGGTGGTCGGGCCTCACAGTGCCCAGTGTGGTCACCAGGCTGCAGGGAGACGAGCTTCTCAGGAATGGATTAAGAACCGTATCGATCCTAGAGAGAGAGGCAAGACCCAGGTTCACCAGGGACGCTGGTGCCAGCCCTGACCTGGTGCACCCGATGTCCAGTGTCCCCGAGCTGCCGTGGCAGGGCTCCTGCAGCCAGTGCGGGTGTTACCCGCTCCCCAATGCCGAGCTCACCGCCTGGCTCCACAAACCCGCCAGGTTCACGTCTCGCCCGGGTCGGACTGTGCGGGAACAGGGATGACGGATGAGGAACGTGTGATGGAACGGAACCACGTCTGGGGCGGAAACCCTAACGCTGCCAGCTGCTGAGGCTGCAGAGCTCAGCCTTGGTGCCTCCACTTCCTCATCTGCCACCACGGGGCACAAGACGGGTCACTGTGGGAAGGGTGACAAGGCAGGGATGCACCTACCAGGAGGGCTGCCACGGCGCAGCAGGCCAGAGCAGTGGGAGGAAGCTGGGAGAGATGGCACAGCTGCTCTCCTCGGGGGCCACACGCTCTTACCCTCTGCCCTGGTTTGCGTGCCAAGGCAGGCTTTGGGCAGAGCCCGGATCGTGGGTGCTGACTGCGTGAACGGATGAGCCCACCGGTGAGTTCAGAGCCGAATGGGCTGTGAGGTGCGGGAAGCGGGTCACTCGCCCCGGCACCCCTCATTCCCGGCTGCCACCCCCTCCCCATGTGATGCTCTCCGGGCCGCAGGCCTGCAGCAGTGGAGCCGCTGACCATGGCCCGGACCCTGGGAAGCCAAGAGCCAGCACGACCTTCTCCTGCCGAGGCGGGTTATGAGCGTTGTCAGCGTCCCCGCCACGGCCACAGTGGCGCCCGCTCAGGGACCTGGAGCGTGCTTGGAGGCACAGAGGCAACATGGGTCAGGCCGGCTGCCAGAGGTGAGTTTTAGGTTAATGAGATTCTTCTAAAGCAGATGCCAAGAAGGTTCAAGAAACAAGCCTCTCCCTTAACCTGAGGTGGCCTGCACCGCAACACACAGGAGGCTCCATGTGGCGCTTACTTACAAGACAGAAATATGATCGTAACAGCCAGTGTGGGAACTTTCACTCAGCAGAATACGCTTTCTGGAGAATCAATCTTTCTTTCTTTTTTTTTGGTACTGAGGATTGAAACCAAGGCCTTCATGCTGAGCTACATCCCCTACCTTTTTTCTATTTTTTATTTATTTAGGGTCTTGCTGTAGCTAAACCGTTCAGGCTGGCCTTGAATTTGTGATCTTCCTGCCTCAGCCTCCTGGGATTATAGGCTTGTGCCACCATCCAGAGCTTTGCTTTTTTCCTTTTTGGTTTTTGCAACAGGTTCTTGCCATATTATCCAGGATGGCCTGGAACACATGATCCTCTTGCCTCAGCCTTCCCACTTAGAAGAATTTTTAATTACATAGAAATGCATAGGACATTGTGGAGAAAATTAGGATAAAGAACCATGCAGACAATGTAACACCCCCCCTTTTTTGTCTTTTTGAGACAGGGTCTCACTGTGCAGTTCAGGCTGGGCTTGAGCTCACTTTGTAGCCCAGGCTGGTCTCAAACTCATAAACATCCTCCCGCCTCAGCCTCCCAAGTGCTGGGATTACAGGTGTGCGCCACCATACCCAGCTCCCCTTTTAATTTTAGAAAGTTATGCATAGAAATCTAGAACTAAAAGGAAATATACCAAAATATTAACATAAGTTTTCCTGAGCAAGGGGATTATAGGTCATTTTTTCTTCTTACTCATTCTCTGTTCCAATCTGGGAAAAATTAGATAATTATCATGACAGTTCCTGTAAGCATCCCCCTAGTCATAAATTAGAAAACATTACACAATATGAAACGGTAATTTCTCGTCCTGGTGTCCTGGTTACACTGCAGCGAACACACCAGCCAATTACCCGCAATCTAATTGTACAGTGAGGGGCTGGCCCCGCCATACCACCCATACTCGGCCACGGCACTGACCTGGATGGAGGTCACAACCCCGTTGGCAAACACCGAGAGCTTCCCGGCCACCGACCGCACGCCCTGCTTGAACTGCGCCATGTCGGGGGCGTTGGGCAGCACGCTGGACAGGGTGTAGTTGCCTGCACACAGATCACAGCTGCTCGGCTACCTGTCTGTGTCCATGGCAACCCTGTCCTCCCGCGCGGCCCCACTCCAAGCTCCACCAGGCAGTGGGGAGGCAGAGCCACACCGAGGGGCACAGCACTGCAGCCGCTGGGCCCCAGCCCCGGACTCCACAGGTGCTGGGAAGGGGCTGCGGCGCCAGCTCTGGCCGGGGGAGGTCCTGGGGCTGGGACAGCACCTTGTTCATCTGCTCCATTCTGTTCACTCATTCATCCATTCACTCATCCACTCGTTCAACAAACACTTGCTGAAGGCTTCCTTTTCCAGCTCCTTCAGGCGCCAGGGCGGATAGAAGAGAAGGCACAGGCCCCGCCGGGAAAGAACCCCGGGTCCAGTGGGGAGATGGTCACACAGCAGGCGCGGCGTACAGAGGGGCCCAGCGAGGGCCCAGGGCGTGGGAGGCGCACGGCCCGTGAACAAGGGTGGGGTGTCCGGTCCTGAGACTCAGGAGACCCAGGGGGCTGCAGCCTGGCAGGCTCCGCGCAGCTGGCGGAGGCAGGAAGTGGCAGAAACGGGGCTGGAAGGGGGGCGGCAGGCTGCACAGAGTGGCCAGGCGCAGGGCCACAGGGTGAGACACGCAGGGGGCCCGGGGAGCCCTGGACTGGGCTCCACGTGGTAGCAGACACCAGTGTCCCTGACGTGGACACAAATCGGAGAGGCCTTCCGAGGAGAGAGAGCACTGGCTGCAGGAGGGACGGAATGCACTCTGGCGGCCATGCCTCGAGGGAGCTGGTGGCCGGTACGAGGCGCACAGGACGCGTCCCAGCCGGAGTGTGGCAAACCCGCGGCCATGACAGCCCAAGCCCCGAGCGTAGGAAGGCGCTCACCTGCTGGCTGCTTCCGCTGCTCCTCGAACAGGTCCGCAGAGCTGATGGCCGAGCTGGTCGACAGCCGCTCCAGGCGGGCCCTGGTCTCATACTGGGGAGACAGGACAGGGACATCAGGCTCTCGCCTCCATGGCACTTCTGCAGAACAGTGACTCTGGACTCTAGGCTCTGTCTTGCCCCGTCACAGTGTCACTGCCGTGCCAGGCCCTGGGGACTTCATGGAACTTACTTTCTGAATGCGAGGCAGGTCACCGGTGGACAGAGCAACTAATGACATCACAGCCACCACGGTCACCAAGGGGCAGGCAGAGCAAGGGGGAGCTTGATCTCTCCCGTGTGGCTCTCAGCCCGCACCCCAGACCCTTGCTCCCCGCGCCTGTCATCCCGCCTGGAAGCAGCAGGACGCCGGCAACTGTGCCCTGCACCGCATGTGTGCGGCTTTGGGGTCAGAAGGCAGGGCCGCACACAAGCTAGGCACACGCGATACCCCTGAGCTGCCGCGTAGCCCCACCGCCAATTACTGATTGGCTGCCTGATGGTCGTGCTGGGGATTGAACCCGGGCCTCCGACCTGAGCTACAGCCCCAGCGCTCTGCTTGCGAGCCTCTCCTGGGATTTCAAGCATGCACTGCCACACCTGGGCCAAGGTTAAAGCAAAACAGGTTTTAGGGGCCGGAGGAACAGCCAAGGGGCCGCTGTGCTCTTGAACTGATGGTGCTGTTGCAGAATAAAATCAGCACACTTAGGAGAAAGCTCTCCAGGAGGCCAGGAAGCCGAGTGCTAACAGGCCGTGCAGAGTGCGCCGGAAACGAGCGTCCTCGTGAGTGTCCCAGCTGCCCCAGAGCAGCGGGCTGAGCTCATCGACCCAGAGGAAGGGGCAGCACCCTGAGGGGTGCACGCTGCGCCCCAGCAACACCTGTGTTCACTTGACCCTGGTCAGCAGCTATCAGACTCCCCTGGAAATGTAGTGCAGAGCCCTTGCCAAAGGGCTCCTCCATGGCCGAGGGAGGGAGAGCGGCTGAGGGGGCCGGCAGCGCCCTGTCCCCTCGGGGGTCCTTGCGCCCTGAGGGTCCGGGCTCTGGGCTCTTACGTCGGCTTGGGCGTGCCTTCCGAAGTACATGTCTGAGGAAATGGCCTTGACGTTGCCAAACTTCCTCTGGGCCTCCTCTGTGTTCTCCGCGGACGCGTAGTCGGACTTGCGGCGAGCGGCAGGTCTGCAGTGAAGGTGCGGAGCAGGGGCAGGTCACACCGTGGCCTGAGGCGCACGCATTTCCCGCTCACCGTGCATCCATCAGTTTAGGGTTTAAAAGGCCAGAGGCGGTAATTTTCTAAAAAGATCTTGGCTCACTTGAAAAAACCTGCCCGTTCCAGGAAGCAGAGAGCAACTTCCCAAGGCACGGACACTGAGGGACCCTGCGCATGCGCGCGGGGGGATTCCCCCCGCTGTCGTTTCATGGCTGCACCAGCGCCCGGTGCAGAGCTGCCCCGCGCAAGCCCTGCCTGTGGGGCGGGAGGCAGCGCTCTGCACTCTGCACCCGGCAGGGTCGGGCTGCAGGACAGGGCAGGTTCAGGTTCCAGGCTGTGCCCCGCACACGTGAGTCCCTATGCTCTCCTTCCCGCACCATCGCTGACACCGTGTCTGCACCAGGGGAGCGAACAAACGCACCCGGGGGTTGGGACCACAGGAGGGAGGCCCAGGCAGATGTGCTGCCAAGAGCCGCGGAGCCAGACTGGGGGGCCCGGGAGTGGTGACCACATTCTCCTGACTCTCTGATGAGGGTCCCGAAGCACAGCCTCAGTGGGCAGGGCGGGCCCCACCCAGCAAGGTGAGGGAAGGGCTGTCTCCTGCTCTTGGTGCTCATTATGTGGCATTGTTTGCGGTCAAAAGCTGTGGAACTTTAAGCCGGGTGTGCTGGTGGTCGATGTAATCCCAGCACTCTGGGAGGCTGAGGCAGGAGAAGCACAAGTTTGAGCCTCATGTGGAAAACTTAGAGACCTTGCAAGACTGTCTCAAAATAAAAAGAGATGGAAGTGCATGTTATGTGATAAAAAAAAAAAAGCTAATATTTAAAATAAAAAAAATTTTTAAAACAGGGTCTTACTGTGTAGTTCTGGTTGGCCTTGAATTCACTGGCTTTGAACTTGTGGCCATCCTGCCTCAGCCTCCTGAGTGTTGGGATTACAGGCATGCAGTACTATGACCAGGTAAAGAATTTATTATAGTAAAAGACATACAGCTATTAATTCCCCCACAAAATCCTCCCCAGAACTGCTTCAGGTAGTGGCAAGAGTAGAATACGTGTGTTCGAAATGTGTGTGTGTGGTGGGGACATGTGTGTCTGGAGGGGGTAATGGCAATGTCTTCTACTGCAGTAACCTTACACTGTTTGTTTGGTTCTTTTGGTGGGGGGCGTTGAGATAGGGTCTTGCTATGTAGCCCAGGCTGGCCTTGAACTTTTGGCAATTCCCTTGCCTCAGCCTCTCAAGTGCTAGAATTACAGGTGTGTGGCATGACACCAGCTACTGTAGTAATTTTTTTAAAAAATTAAACATTCACTGTAGTTTCTTCCTCTCTCCCTTCCTTCCTTATCTTTATGAGACAGGGTTTTGTTACACAGTTCAGGCTGGCCTTGAACTCGCCTGCCTCAGCCTCCTGAGTGCTGGGATTATGGGTGTGCACCAGCGCTCCCAGATAGCTTGGTGCAAGTACGGCCCAAAACAAAAACAAAACACAAACCCTCACAGAACCTTCACCTCGACAAAAGGATGGACCCCATGCAGACTGCTGCGGTGGGAGGAGGCGACATTCCTGATCCAGGCTCCCAACCTGTGGCTCAGAACCCGAGGGAAAAGGCTCCTGCGTGTGGTGAGAGGAGCCAGGTGACACTGCTGTGCCCCTGTGCAGTCCCTGCCTGGTGTGACGAGGGACCCGAGGCAGCCGCCTCAAGCTCCCAGCCACGTGGGCTCCCCACGCCGCCACTGCACACCTGTCGGAGGTGCTCGAGGTCCTGCCCGCTGCCTCAGCATCTCTGCCGCTGTCCTTTCTCCAGTGAGAGTCGGAGCCCTCGTCCCAGTCGGCAAAGGGGCTGCTTCGCAGTTCCACGGGGTCGTCGAAGTACCTGCGGGGACAGAAGGTCGGTGACGGGGTCCTCACGCTGAACTCTCCGGCTGGGGGCCACAGCCTTTGGAGTGACGGGGCTGAGCCGGCCGTGGCCTTCCCTGCAGGAAGCTTGTGCCGTCCCCGCTGTCCTGCGGACCCGAGCTCGGGCAGGCCGGCCCTCGTGCCACTCACCACCGCTCCCGGCTGTCTCATCTTTGCTCTAGTGACAAAGGCTGCTGCAGGGCCTGGCTGGCAATGCCCTTAATGTCAGTAAGCACCTCCAGTGCCAACAATGGCATTTCTCTCCTCTGGGATGGCACAGACCTCGCCAGGGTCCCTAAGCAGCCCTGCTCTGAGAGTACTCAGTGGCTGCCTTCTGTTGCATGTGGTCAGAGGCGTCCCCAGCCAAGGACAGTGAGGCTGTGGGACAGAGGCTGGCAGGAGAGGTGCTCCCACCAGAGCCTGGACCAGCAGCGGCTGTGCCTCGGCAGCAGGGAAGGAGCCCGGCAGATGTGCGCCCTGATGAGGGCGGAGCTCAGGGCCAGGAGGACGCACACAGGATGCAGGCGGGCACAGGTCCTGTGTGACCAGGAGCATGTAGAGGACAGACACACCGAGGGTCGGCTCAGTGCACGGGAGCCTGAAGGACACTGGCCAGGCCCCCAGAGACAAGACTGGACGTGGGGCTGCTGGGAACCTGGGGAGACAGCACAGTCTGTGTAGAGACTGTGCCTTCTCCGGCAAGAAGGACGCTAAGGTCGCATCATGTTACGCTGGCCACTTCCGGAAGCTCAGGGAGAGTGCGAGCCGGGAGTGTGCCGGCTTTCAGCTAGAAAGCAAGGAGGGTGCCTGTGCTGTGTCCGACTCTGCTTGTTTACACAGACCAGGACAAGCAGGGACTGGAGCTCGCCTCCGAAGATAGCTCCAGAGACGCGGGGTGTGCTGGGCGGGAGAGTGACCCGCACAGGTGCAAGGCGCTCCTCTGCACAGGACCAGGACAAAGCTACGAGCACTTCCACTGGAAGCCTGCAAGCCACACCAGCAGTGCTTCCCAGGCGGCTGGTGCGGCGCGGGAGGAAGACACAGGCAAGGAGCCTCCGTCCTTGCCCTCACTGGGCCTAGGCACATCCTGGGCAGGCTGGGCAGGGCCTGGACGACAGGGATGTCCCGGGGGCTGCGGCCCATAGAACACTAGCAGTGGCTGGGCTGGCAGGTGGGCACTGCCACCTCGGGGCTCTTCCCATGACAGGAAATGACAGCCTCCGGTCACACAGGCCGCAGTGCCACCCCCCACCAGGGCTCCCCAAGGAAGGTCAGAGTCGGTGTCGGCAGGACAGAGCAGCAGTCCCGTCTCCCAGCAGACGCCCCGCAGTGCGGACCTTTCCTGAACCCCAAAGTTTGGGTTTCTGGGTCCCCGTCCTCTGTGGCCTTTCTTCCCTTGCTTTCGGCCTCCCGCTGTCCTGGCTCCATGCTGGAAACGCCCCACCCTAGTCCTGCCGAGGGCCCGATGGCACACTGTGTGCTGGTTACAGTCACCGTCTGTCCTGCCGCAGGCCTCACAGACCTCCCTGGTGCTTATTCGGAACTCAGCCTATAATAACTGTACCCTTTACGTCCTGGAAATAATGGCACTCAATAAAAGACAGACCCCAGCATGTGCTCTGTCTCATCTGTAATGGAAGCAGCACTCTTCCATAACTTGTAACACGCACATTCTAATGGCTAATGTGTACTTTGGGAGCAGTGAACGTGCTTCATGGCACTAACATGCTAGTTTCAGAGAATCGTGTCCATTTCATTTCAGGTGCCAAAGGACCTAGGAACAAGAGTGACTGGTGACCGGACAAGGAGGTGTAGAGCAGCTTTAAGTCCCCAGACTCCTGTGGGTCATGAGAGCAGGCCCAGGGTCTCTGGCAGCCCTGTAGCCCGCCGGCAGCAAAGCACAGTTTGCTCCTGTTTGCACATAAGGAACTGTGTCACAGCAAGGCAGGCCTTCGAGGCCGGCTATGCTGATTAAAGCTTTAAAGAAGCACTGCTGGAGGCCTGCGAGGCAGAGAGCAGGCCTGGCAGAAGCTTGCCCGTGACCTGGGCCCACGAGGGCCTCGAAGGCCCTGCTCAGCAGGTGACCTCAGGGGCCCCTTCTGTTACCAACGCTGCTACCCACACGATGGTCCTCTTCCCCTCCCTACATGACCACCCACAGCATCGTGACCAGCAGTGAGATCGGGCAGGCGGACGCCCCAGGTGAACGCTGGCCGGGATGCATCTGTCATTGGATAGCCGCATCTGAAGTGACTTGACAGACAGCGCTTCCCAATCAAATTACAAAGTTAATTTGAGCCTGTATGAAATGTGCTTAAATGCTTTTAAAAGGCACAATGTGGAAATAACCCTGCCAGAAACCAGAACCTGGTTGGGGCACTGTTCAGGTTACAGGACACCGGCACACAGAAACCCACACAGGCCCCGAGCAGACTGCCTCGGGCGCCACATGCTGCTCCTTATTTGACAGAACACCAGCACTCAAATAGTTTGCAGCTGTGCTTACAGAAAACGTTAAGGACAGCAGTCTACATAATTCCTCTACTTTGATAGGAAAGAGAAATGATCTCACAATTAGACTCGAGGAAAGATGTATTTATATTTCCCCCATGAAAACATCCGCCTCTCATCATACGGAGCCCCGAGGCCTGGACAGCTGCCATGCAGCTCTCGCGCTCCTGGAGATGCCCTGGATGAGCCTCCCAGGAAGCCGTGCCTGTCGCTGTCGCTGTCGCTGACACACACACACACACACACACACCCGTGTCACCAGCTCCTAACCCAGCGGGTCCAGCAGGCAAGCGCTTAGACTGAGCCACGTGTCTTAGGACTGAGTTCTTTGTCATAAGAGCAGCTGTCCGTCCCAGAGACCAAGCACCATTCCCGGAGCCAGACGTGCGGAAACTCACTTCGACCTCACGGACCCCACAGTGGGTGCTGCTGGGATCCCGAGCACAGCGAGGAAGCTGCAGTGCAGAGAGAAGTAGCCTGGCCCAGGACACACAGCCCCTGTGTGGCACAGGCAGGATTCAAGCCCAGGCTGCCTGGCTCCCGCCCCTCTGCGCCCCAGCGGTGCCCACCTCTAGGGAAATCTGGGTGCCATGCTTCCTGCTTGGGTCAGGTTCTTGGGGGAACATCGTGGAGCGAGTTGATTCAAGGTTGTAAAACACACACACACACGCATGCATGCACGCACGCACGCACTCCAAAGAGTGCGGGAAGGAACCTGAGCACGCACTTCCTCCTGTCGGTCAGGGTGTGCCGAGGACGGTCCCACGTGGGGCCATTTCATCATCAACACATGCACCCTGGTAGCTTCTTCCCTTCTCGCTCCCACGCTGGCACCTCCTGAAGCTGGAGCAGGACCCGGGGGAACGCAGAGGCCTGGCCCACTGGGGAGCGCAGAGCTGGGGGCAGCCGCCCGCAGGGCCGAGGCGCACAGGCTCAGGGCTCCTCCCTGCCGAGGCCGCTGCTCGCGACAGAGCACTGCCATAGACAGCTGCGCCTCTCCTCCCTCCTGCCACCGACTGCTGTGCAACCCCGCCACACGTCCCCTTCTGTACCCCACGCACAGCTTGGCGCCAGCCAGGGCCTTTCAAGACAGTGAAGTACACAGACTGCTGCTCGCGCCTAATGCAAATCAACCAGTAACCCCGGGCTGGTGGCCGCGTCACAACGACACAGCGCTGCTGGTTTAACACATTTACCTGGAGCTGGAGGCCAGATAGGAATCATCACTGTCCTCCTGATACTTCTTCCTCGGCTTGGCCAGCGTGGGAGACTCCTGCTCTATGGTCTGCATATCTGAAGTCACCGAATGTGAAATGCCACTTGAGAACATGGGAAGACGGGAAAAACATTACACCAAGTAGTCAGTTCACACTGTGGTCTCAGTAGAAAAATGAATGTTTTACACTACATCCCAAAGGAGGACAAATTTATAAGTAGGGTGAAAAACACAAGCAACAACTTCTTCAGTGTAAACTTGGAAAAAAAAAAATGAAATCTTTGAGCAGAGGATGTAGCTCAGTGGCACACCGCCTGCCTGGCAAGCACGAGGTTGTGAATTCGATTCCCAGTACACATATTTAAAAATGCAATCTTTGTGGGGACTATAGCGACACCCACCCAGCCTCATGTATCGGTTGTGGCTGTGATAGCCACACCAGTGTGCGCTTAGTGACCAGAGACTTCCTTCCCTTCCCTAAAAGCCATGTCTGCAATTTCCATGTGACAGTGAATACTACAGCAAAGCAGAACACGTAAGAAGGGAAGGGAGCCAGGCCTTGTGGGGCACACCTGGACTCATGGCACTCGGAAAGCTGAGGCAGGATTGCCACAAGTTCAAGGCCAGCCTGGGCTATCCAGGGATACCCTGTCTAAAAAAAAAAAAAAAAAAAAAAAAAAAAACAGAAGTGGAAAGGAATACCAAGGCGATACCTCTACAGTTGAAATGTTTTAGCCCAAGGAAGATCCACTCATGATTATCGAACTGGATTAGGTTCTGCAATCTGAGCAAGCACAGCCTCGTACCTCCTGCAGTTGCCCAGCCCCATGCCAAGTCTCTCCGCTTCCGCTTTTTTTTGGCCACTCATGTTCGTTTTTCCATCCTTTGTCTGAATTCCGAGATTCTTGTAGGCAAACTGTAAGGACAACACGCTGACAAAGAGAAGACAAACACTCTCGGTGAGCTTCTACTCCAGGCTCTTATAGCAAAGCACCAAGCAAAACAAAACCGGCACTTCCTGCTGTTAGCTTTATGCTTCTTCCCTAATTGCTAACTTTTTTGCTGTTTGTTTTTGAGACAGGGTCTCACTATGTAGCCCTAGGTGGCCTTGAACTTGAGGTGATGCTCCTGCCTCAGCCTCCCAAGTGGTGGGATTACAGAACAGCCCACCACGTTGGGAACATAATTGTTAATTATGAAGGTGAGCTGGCCTTTCCTTTTCACTCAGATGTAAGTGGGTTTATAGCCCCTTTGTGATTGCTGCTGTTCAAGGTGAGCGCGTATGGACCTGGTATTGCATAAATACCAGAGACACCTGGTACTACATAAATTATAATTTATACTTCAATGATGTCTCTAAAGATTGTGCAGAGTATGACTTCCCCTGTGGATCAATATCTGATTATACTTCGCCATGACATATGAGTATTAGTGTTGCCATTCTGCTCTAAGGTTAAAATATATGTAAAGCTGACTTCTCAGTCAGATAAATTAAGGCGGGCTTAGTCAACTGTATAAGCATTCTTGGGCTAGGGATATAGCTCAGTGGCACAGCACCTGCCTGGCAAGCATGAGGTCATGAGTTCAATTCCCAGCACCAAATAAATAAATAAATGTATAAATATTCTTAAAAATTACAGGAGAATTTCTGCAGGGCCTGTTATGTAACTAGACCTGTCAGAACATTTATTTACTTATTTTTATTTGTGTCTTTTTGAGACAGGGTCTTGCTATGTAGTTCAGGCTGGCCTTGAACTCACTGTGTAGCCCAGGCTGGCCTTGAACTGTGGTGATCCTCCTGTCTCAGCCTCCTGACTGCTGGGATTACAGGCGTGCACCACCATGCCTGGCTCAGCCAGTGGTTTCTTAAGTGCGGGCCATCACATGCCAATCTTCTATTTATGAATTGGCTGTTACAAATAACGCACCCAAAATAGCAGCACCAAAGGGGTCAGAAGATACATCAAACATTGTCTTATTCTTATGCTGGGCATTTCTAGAAATGCAATAAATGTCTAAAGTTTCACAGAGGAAGCTATACATATATTAGCAGTAATAGTATTACATCATAGTGAAAAAAACCTCTGGGGTTTAAAAAAGTGATATATGATATATATATATATCTATCTTACAAGAATTTGTACATTGTCATCTGTTAACAAAATTGTGTGAAATGGCACGGATTCCTCATAGCAGTGGCACTGTGAAAATTCCACTGTAATGTAAATTCTACGTAGGAACAAGGCATGACAACAGCACTTCGCACGGCTACAAAAATACTTCTGCTTTTGCTGTATCCCTCCACTAGTGGGCCTGGCCTTCTTCGGTCTGCTTTAATCTGTTTTGCTTTGTTGAATAGTATCACTGCGGGACAGTCCTGAGCAAGTGAGTACTATGCCTTCACGCAGAGCTTTTACATCAGATCTGCTGAAAACCGTGGGAGACAGGACTGAAGCACAGCTCTGCCTGAGAAGACCAATGGATGCGTGGAACGGTTCTGCTACACGGTGGACGAGGAGGGCTGGCGGCTGTCCCTGCCACCAGCGGCACCTGCACAGGGGCAGTCACTGGACGGCCGCCAGGCCTCCACAGAGCCTCGAAGGCAGCAACAGCGCCGTGTGAGAAACAACGCTGCTCTGAGAGTTCCTGAGCCCGCACAACCCCACCCACAACCATGAAGAGTCTGACCCTGCAGACTAACTGTCTGGCCGGTTCCTGACAGCGAGGGGAGGGAGGCTGGGAGGCAGCGACAGGGGACTCAGGCGGGGCTGCAGGGGTCCTAAGCAAGGCCAAGTGGCCACATTCGGTTCCCAGGTCAAACCCATCAGATCCCTAGGTTTGCACTGAGACCCTGGAGCTTCCACAACGCAAACCCCGCCCCGCTCTTCTCGGGTCAGGAAGCAGTTCAGAGGAGAACTTGAGTCACGGCGCGCTTCAGCACGGGCCAGTGCTGCCCCCTGGGCGCGGGGAGTGGAGCAGGGAAGGAGAGCCCGGAGGGTCTGAGCATTGAGCCACAGGGACGCTGCTCCGCCCTCAGCCGGGCTGTGCTGAGCACCGGCACAGCTGGTCCCACAGCCACCCTGGCAAATGGGCCTCTCCATGGCCTCCCGCAATTCAAGCTCGTCCCGATGCCCACGAAAACGAGGGGAAACCACAGGAACGGCCACACACGATGGGGACAGCTTCCCGCCAGGCGTCGCGTGCCGTGGCCCCTCAGCTGGCCTCACTGGGCGGGCTGTGCGTGTCACGCGGTGCTGTGACCGGGTTCTTTCTCAGCACAGAAGTCACTGTCTCTGGCGGCACACGCAGGTGTTCACTCCCGGTGTGCACAGATCACTGCGTGGTGAACACGCTTGCTGACCTGCTGGCCCGCTGACAGACGTGCAGCTGGCCCTCGGGTTCACGCTGCCGTGGCCGTGGCCGTGGGATGCCTGTGTTTCTCCCACCCACATCCTCAGGAGTGCGGCGCTGGGCCCAGGCGCTCACATTTGAACCAGAGGTGCCCCGAGGCGGGCAGATGGCATCTCAGGGCGGGGGCTGCAGTCCCACCCGCTCCTCAGGGAGCCCTGCTGCCACCCTGCACTGATTTGCGTCACCACACACCGCGAGCTGGCTGGGCAATAGTTCGCCCAAGTGCGGACTGCCCGCGGGACTCAACTCACGGGGACTCTTCCTTAGGCGCGGCCCTGGCCAGCAGGTCCTCCTGCTCCTTCCTTCTGTCCACGGCCTGGGCCTGCTTTTCGATTTCAGTAAAGCTTGTATTTGCCAGTTTCTGGGCTCCCAGGCTTCCTTTCTTGGCCCCGAGCTGGAACACAGAAAGATTACACGTGAGCCGCGCTGTTAGCAAACTTTGGAACTACGGCTAAGGCGGTGACCTGCCAGGCGCCGAGGGCAGCTTGGGGTGTTCCTTGCTCGGTCCTGTGTCTCTGAGAGGCTGGCACTGGTCCTCCCGTCACACATGAAGAAAGTGATGCGCACTCAAGGCCGGCGCTGTGGCCAAGACCACAGTGGAAGAGGCGAGGCCAGCGCTCAGACCCCGGCCCTCCCCAGAGGAGGCCACGGCTCTGCACAGCCACCTCGGACTCCCGCGGCGCAGAAACGGCGGGAGGGGCAGGGAGCCCTGCTGCCTCTTCTCAGCACAGACGGGAACCATCTCAGACATTCATTCTCGAAGATACTTACTAAGTGTAAATTTCATCTCGCTGAACAAAACATAATGTTATCAAGGCCACATTTATTCTATTGTGGCTCAAAATAAAAAAGTAAATAAAACTAACAGGACAAAATGGCTCTAGTTTGAAGCCAAACTACCAGGTAGTTGATATGTAATACTTACTCCTCTTTTAGCTTGATTTGGTTTCTTTTTTATGATCGAGGAAACCTCTGCCAAAAAGTAAAAATGGAAATGTCAGACCAACAGAAATCATAGGTGATTTTTCCACATTACCGTCCTTTCTAGAAAGTCTAACAGGCCACATATTACCAAGGACTCTCGCGTTCTCAGCATTAGGCTGTCACACAGAAGGCTCGAGTGCACGCGTGCATTCTGACCACGTGAGCCTCACAGGCCCCACGCAGTGCCCAGGCTCAGAGACGACGTGACACACTCCGCACACCACAGGGAACAGAACCAAAGAGCCTGGTCCTGCCCCGCAGGATTATCTTCAAGAGGGGCTTCAAATACATATAAGACAAATGCTCCTATCAAGGTCTATACTTAAAAACTTTTTTTTTTTTTTGAGACAGGGTTTCGAGTTTTGTAGTCCAGGCTGGTCTGGAACTCTCAGTGATCCTCCTGCCTCAGCCTCCCAAGTGCTGGGATTACAGGTATGTGCCATCATGCCCAGCACTAAATATATATGCATGCATTCATTCATTCATTTTTTTATTTTTTGGTACCAGAAGTCGAACTGAGGACCTTCTGTTTGCCAGGCAGGCACTTGTGCCCCGAGTTATATCCCTGGCCCATATGTGTAAAACTTTTTAAATTACTATTCATTATTACTGTGGGGGTATGTGTGAGAGGCTGGGGACTGAACCCAGGGCCTTGTGCATGCTAGGCAAGTGCTCTAAAACTGAACTACATCCCCAGCCCCTTAAAAAATTCCTTTAACTTATAAAATGAGCCCAGAAATATATGTGTAATGAAAGCCATCAATAAAGTACTTTTCCACCTCTACTTAAAGATTTATTAGCTTCTAAGAAGTAGCGTTTATTTATTTATTTTTGAGACAGGGTCTCACTATGTAGTACAGGCTGGCCTTGAACTCTCAGAGATCCTCCTGCCTCAGCCTCCCAAGGGTTGGGAGTACAGGTGTGTGCTACCACACCTGGCCACACTAGTGTTTTAGTCACCATACCTTCACTGCCTCTCAGCCTTCTGGCTAACACCAAGTGTGGTAGTGGTTCATCCCAAATTTCACAAAATGTTATACTTTTAGAGAGACTCTTATTGAGTCATGAGCTGAGTAAATTTCAACCAAAGGTTGTAAGTCTTATTTTAGAAATATGTTTAAAAGACCTAGCAAGAATAAAATCTTATTGTTTTTCTTCCAAAGATGGCAATGCACAGGCTGGGGTGTGGCTCAGCGGCTCAGTGCTGGCTGTGAATGTTGAGGCCTGGGCTTGGGCCCCAGCACTACAAAAAAAAAACAAAAAAGGGAAACAATGTGGGGGACAGCACAGCATGAGCCCGGGACGCCACAAGCACTTCTGAGCCCTAACCAGAGGAGCAGGCGCTGCCGTCAGATCTGTGCTGCGGCTGGCACCTGACCGCTCCAACCTCCCTCCAGCAAGTCTGAGCCAGGACGACAGTGACAGGAAGACGTCTAGGCAAGGTGGTTGTTTCTCTCCTAAGTGGCTTCTCCCCCATTAACACAACGTAGTACACAACAGTTCCAAATGGGGACTCCCTGCTAGTGACGGAGTGCGTTTCCGTTCCGAGAGAGCAGAGGAGAAGGAGAGGGGCGCTCCCGAGCGGACAGGGGCGGCGTGGGCACGGTGGGCCTCGGGCAGCAAGCAGCCCCGTGCGTGCGCCCACACAACCTCAACGTTCCGGACCCATTGGCCTTGCCGGAAGGGACAGCAGCGTTCAGGCTGAGCTGTTGGCAGGGCCTTGGTCGCGGTCCCGGTGCTGCGCCACTCTAGAAGCTGAGACACAGGTGACGCGTCTCTTCCACAATACCTGCCCCCCAAATCAGAGGCGCGGTCCACAGCGTGTTACCTGAAGCAGACTTTGCTGGGGCGCTCAGTGCTTCCACACTTGGTCCTTGTTTGGGGTCACCTAAAATTTAAAGCATCGACTTTAGTGCAGAAAATCTACTCGTGCAACTTGCTCTTGAACGTGTCATAATGCAACATGGTCAGGCCTACATATCTTAATCCATTTTTTTTTTTTTTTTTGGTTTTGTTTTTTCTCCGGTACCAGGAACCGAACTCACAACCTTGCGCTTGCCAGGCAGGCGCTTTGCCGCTGAGCTAAATCCCCAGCCCCCATCTTAATCAATTTTTAACAACTGTCTTTCTTTTCAGTATTTTTTTCCCCAGCACAGACTTTTGAACCCAGAGCCTTCTCACTGAACTACATCCTCAGGCCTTTTTTTGTTTTGTAATATGAGACAGAGTTTTACTAATTCGTTAAATTGCCCTGGTTGGGCTTGAACTTGCCATCCTCCTGCCTCAGCCTTCCAGAGAGCTGGGATTACAGGTGTGCACCACCAGGCCAGGCTCACTGTCATCTTCTGAAAGGTGTTTATTTTCCATTGACACATAATGACTGTACACATTTACAGGACGCAGTGACACTGTGGTACACACAGACAATGTCTGACTGGCACAACCGTCACTTCTCTGTACGGGGGACACTTAAAATCTCTGCTGGCTGACCTGAAACACAATTACTTGCTGCTAACCACATTTCTCCTGCTCTCCTATGGGGCACCGGTACAGCTCTACTCTAAGGAATTTGATTTAAAAGTCTGTGAAAATGCAAGTACATTTTCTATGTAATAGCTTTGCAGAATAATAATATTACTTGTCTCTTCCATTAACGTTGTTATTCAGAATACTGCTTGATAATCTGGTGTTTTTAAGAATATATAATTTAATTTTTTTTTTTATGTGGTACCGGGGATTGAACTCATGACCTTGTGCTTGCCAAGCAGGCGCTTATACCACTGAGCTATATCCCCAACCCCCTTGTTTTTGTTTTTCAAGACAGGGTCTCACTATGTAGTCTGGCTTGAACTCATAGTGATCCTCCTACCTCAGCTTCCTGAATAATGGGATTACAGGTGTATACCTCCACACCTGGCTACTCTGGTATTCTAAAGTGACCCATTCTGAGCTACCTAGTGCTTATGCACATGTACACACACACACACACACACACACACACACCTCCCACTGGATGTCAACATGCGGAAATTCTAACACCAGGTACCTCAATGGGAATTGGCTGATTTTCTACTTTTCTAATTTTATTTTATTTTATTTTTTGGTACCAGGAATCAAACTCAGGACCTTGTGCTTGCCGGGCAGGCGTTATGCCACTGAGCTACATCCCCAGCCCTATTCTTCTAATTTTAAAAAAAATGATCCTGGTTGAGGACTATGTTAAAACTTCATTTAAAATACACCTTATCATTTTAATTTTTTGTTTTGGTACTGGGACTTGAACTCGAGACCTTGCACTTGCCAGGCAGGCACTTATGCCACTGAGCTATATTCCCCAGGCCTGTTTTGTTTTGCTTGTTTTTTGACACAGGGTCTCACTGTGTAGTTCAAGATGGTCCTAAACTCACCATGTAGCCCAGGCTGGCCCTGAACTTACAGCAATACTCCTGCCTCAGCCTCCCAAATGCTGGAATTACAGGTGTGCTCACCATGCCCAGCTCCAGCTAATACCTTAATTTTCCTAGTTTCCCAGCATGCCTGGCTCTTGGAGTAGTGGCCTCTGACTGTTCTAAGGTCCCCACCTTTGTCATCGCCAGGAGCGGCTCCCATGACCCGAGGTGTTAAAGGCGAGGGCTCTGGCTGTGCAGACACCTGCGCTGGGCCGCTCACCTGCAGCAAGGGGAGGAAAGTCATTGGCATCCAGAGCAGGACAGTCACAAGAACAAGCGACATGTAATCACGTGAAGAGCCACTGCTCCATGGAATAAGATTCAAATGCGCCAAGCTTCAATTCGTTTCAGTGCTCAAATGCTTGACATCCCCTCCTTTTGTTAGAATATAGTTTTTAGTGTGAAGCACCGCTGGACTTGCGCAGAGCAGTGAGCACACTGCCGGGAGCGTCCCGTGCCCACTCAGCCTCCCCTGCTGCTAGAGGCACGGCCGTCACTGTCATCGCCCGTCACAGCCACCATCACCGCGAATGGCTTCAGGGTAGCACTGTCACCTGTGCTGCCCTGAGGGGGCTCCACTGGCTTCCCCGCCAGGCTCTCCCCTGGCACACCCCATACCACACTGCAGCCGGGCCTCCTCGGCTCCTCGGTCTGTGACCGTTTCTCAGCTGTCCCTCACGTGGGCGTTGCACCCTGCTTTGTAGGCTCCTCCCTCCACATCACGTCGGTGGCCCAACACTGGCATGGGTGGCCCTGACCCCCGCCCCTTTCCACGCTGCTGCCTTGGGAGGGGATCCCGAGCTCAGTGCACCCTGAGGTGAGGGACGCCGTGGGCTGCTCTGGAATTGTCCCCTGCGGGAGTGCTGCCCCTCTTCCCACCCCTCATCCCCTCCGGGGCAGCCACTGAGCCACTGAAAACTCTACAGGGTTTGCCACCGTGATCTGCTCCAACTCACTTCAATCAGCACGGATTCCTGAGCGCAGCCTGTTCGTTTTCCTGTCTGGATTATAACTCAGCATTGTCGTTATTCACACTGTCGTTCCAGCTGCTCCAGGCCGCACCTTGGGCGGCTCTTCCGGGTTGGCTGCGAGTGCTCGGGACAAGGCCCCATCCGTTTCACCCCGCACCCTTCCTGTCCTCGAGCCCGAGCTGTCCCCAGCACACCCTCCCTGGCGGCCTCAGCTGCGGCTTCTCCGGTGAACACAGGTAGTGGTTAGAAACCAAGATCGGGACACTGCTGCGTTCCTGGCACTTATGGGGGCGTCATCTGCCCCCCAGTGCTCTCCGGGGACAAGGCCGGTAATATGTGCATGCTCCCCACGTTTACAGGCGTGTCTGTAGTGTTCTGCCCGTCTCTGTGTGTGTACACACACGTACACAGACACATGAAACAAAAAACATGAACTCCTGGTAACCCTCGCCAACAGTGTGCTGTTCCATGGCAAACAAGGGCAACGAATCACAGAAGACCACCTGGGCTGGTCTTCTGCTCTCCCTCTCACAACTATTTCTGATGGCTCTTCAGTGATCGGTGGGGAAACGTACATGCAAATTATAAGAGAAAAAAACTACATGGAACAAAATCTATAGGCTGGCCAGTGCTGTGGCCTGGAACTTACACGTCCCTCCAGGGCCCACATGTCACGCAGAGGTCTGGCCCCAACCCAAGGGATGGCAAGAGGTGGTGGCATGTTCCTGGGGTCACTGAGAGCTCGCCTTTGCCAGGTTCCCTCGCCTTAGCAAGGCAAAGTGGGGAAATTCACAGAGGCACCAGGACTGCTGTCAGACCACAGCAGCAGGGAAAATGATGCTCACAGCGTTCGCTAAAAGCTCACTTTGTGCTAGGCACTAAGCACATTTGCCCATGGGAACTCCCTGACTTCTCACAATCTGTTGTGTCTCTTCTCCAAGCACATGTGCCCATTTGCCTTTTTCTCTGTGTGTGTGGAGGAAATTGAACTCATGACCTTGCGCTTGCCAGGCAGGCACTGTGCCGCTGACTATATCCCTGGCCCTTCTCACACAGGCTGGAGATACATAGAATGCACACAGCAGAATCAGGCCACTGAGATCGAAACCCCTATTAAAACTCTCAGGTGCAAAGCTCTGGGTTCCCTGTGGCCACTGCCAGGAATACTGTCCCAGTTTCCCAATAGCTAGGAACAGACAGGCAAACACATTCCAGCTCAGATGTCACAAGCAGAGCGGTATATGCTGTCTCTAGACTGTTTTGTAAAGTGGAGGTAGGGTTTGTTTTCCTGGATGTTCATCCTCTTCCATGAACTGGGCAACATCTTAAACTGGAGCAGCCACATTAGACCCTTCCATGGAAGCCACAAGTGGGGGACAGCAAAGTAAACTCACTAGGTGTTAAAGTTTACATCTGAGATGTCCCCCCAAAGATCATGTGCTTATAGGTAGGGCTTTTGGGAGGTGACTGGGTCATGGGTGAGGGACACTCATCCCTGGATCAGTCCACTGATGAGTTTACAGCTGGATGCGATGTTGGGAAGCGAAGCCTGGTGGGAAGAGGTGGGTCACTGGGGGGTGTGCCCTGGAAATGTATCTCCCTCCTCCTCCCTTGATCTCTCTGCTTCCTGCCTGCCCTGCCAAGGACTGTTTCTCTCTGTGATGCCCTCTGCCATGTCACCCTACCTTGGAGCCAGCCAACCATGGACCAAAACCTCTACAGACTGTGAGCCAAAATAAACCTCTCCTCATTTAACTTGTGGGTGCTGGACATTTTGTCCCAGCAACAGGAAAGTAACTAAGATACTAAGAAATGAACTAAGAAAGTAACTAAGAGGCAGCTGCCTCTGAATGGATGGTGATAAGTTAATTCCTACCTTGTGCCAGTTGCTTACTCCTGCAGCTTAGCCTATTCTCTAGCTGAAACATGTTAAATATATACCTTACATAACTTTCAGAAGAAACACACTCTGAAATGAAGTAAAGCATAGTACATACCTCAGAAGACACGTGAGAGGCAAAAAAGTCTTCCTCCTTTGGAGGAGGGGACGACGGTGGAAGCACACAGCTGTCAAGCCACAGCTGGAACAGAAACAAAGCCACACTCAGCATTCTACAGGCCTGCATGGGGCTGCTTCCTGGTGATTGGGGTTTTTGTGCCTACAGCACCAGGCCTCTGCGGCACTGCAGGAACTTTAATTCATTTTTCACCCCCTTTCTTTTGCCTTTCTTCTCCCTCCCCTGAAACCCTTTCTGAAAGGGAAAACGCAAGAGCTTCATATGTAAGCACAGGTTCCAACCCACACCCAGCCCTCATCATTCAAAGATTCCATACCCATGCATTCCCCTGTGTGCTGAATGTACCTTGGCCCCACTCAGTCCCCGTGGTGTTTTCACTCAGGTTCCCAGACACACACGGAGCTGTAAGGTGAGCTGTACACCTAGCTCGCCCAGGCAAGGAACAGCATACTCTACTTTCTGGTATAAGTTCTCACACATGTTAAGAAGCACCTTCTTGCAGCCTATTAGTACATTCTCCACCTTCGTGCTTTTAGTGGATGACTTCTTTCTTTCTTTCTTTCCTTTTTGTACTGGGAATTGAACTCAGGACCTTGTGCTTGCCAGGCAGGCGCTTGTGCCACTGAGCTGTATCCCTGGCTTTCAGTGATGTCTCTTTACACAGAAACATATGTGAACTAAGGTTGTGTACTGGTCACTTAAGGAAAAGTGACCACAGGCTGAGCGACCCTGCCCTGGTGGTCCCTGAAGAGCAATGCTTCTGGGTGCCTTCATTCCGCGGTCAGGGGGAGGCAATGGAAGACCCTTCGGTACCGAGCGTCAGCTGCACCATTTCCTTATGAGAGAGCCCAGCAGGAGGTCCCGAGGTTCGGGATAAAAGCACGGCTTTTAGAGAACGAACATGCACCTGAGGCGACAGTGCCCCGAACTCACATCAGTGCCGTGCTTCCGCGCGGCCTGGGACGCCAGCGACTTGACCTTCTCTCTGTAGAGCTGGGCAGCGCGACTGTTGTACTTGGCGTTGGTGTCGTTGGTGGCACAGCCGTGCTGGTGGAAAAAAGATGACTGCAGAGGAAAGTGCCCAGGTTGTAGGAATACCGCGTGGAGCAGACATCCTGACCCAAAGGAACTGCCTGCAGCAGGGGATCTTTAAAATATCAGTGAAAACTAACGTAATTTGAACATCACGAAAGGTTGTAATGTAAACTTTCCTCAGTACTGAGGGAATTCCCTACACAAATATAATATGTATTTTGCTAAGACTAGATAGAGACTCGCATTACGAAATGAAGTACCTGGGCCTCACTTCTGAGTTAAGCCACTCAGGACAGTTTTGAACTCATGAGCAATCAATTTCCCTTTGTAAGCTGGGCGTGATGGCACAGGCCTGTAATCTCAGTACTGGGGAGGCTGAGGCAGGAGGACTGTTGCAAATTGGAGACCAGTCTGGGCTACAAAGTGAGCTCAAGGCCAGCCTGAACTGCATAGAGAGACCCTGTCTCAAAAAAGACCAAAAAAATATATCTGTTTGTATTTTATTAAATCAGAATTTTTGACAATTTGGTTAGGAGCTGTGCTGTTACCCTGTTTAACACTCTTCTTTTTTCTTTCTTCTTTGAAAGAGGGTCTTGCTATGTAGTTCAGGCTGGCTTTGAACTCATGGTGATCCTCCTGCCTCAGCCTCCCAAGTGCTGGGACTACAGGTGTGTACCACCACTCCCAGCACACTCTTTCTTCATTAACACAGACAATAACAATCTTACAAAGGTAAGATGATAGAGCAAATTTCTTTTTTGTTGTTGTTGTTTTTTTGTCTTTTTGAGACAGGGTCTGGCTATGCCATTCAGGCTGGCTTTGAGCTCACTTTGTAGCCCAGGCTGGTCTCAAACTCGCAACAATCCTCCTGCCTCAGCCTCCTGAGTGCTGGGATTACAGGCGTGCGCCAGCATGCCCAGCTGATAGAGCAAATTTCAAACAACCAGAAGAAACTGCCTTCAGCTACCTATGCATCCATGTATAGACTTGAATGGCAAAGCTTGCACAAGTGGTGCTGGATGAACCTACACTGATCAGTCACGGTAGTATCACCCATGAGCCTCAGATCCTGTCCAGCGCTCTTCATGGGCAGCACCTCACAGCAACACTGCCAGTCCCTACTGCTGTCTTGCTGAATAGATGCGGAAACGGAAGCACAGACATCCGACACATGGCCAAGGCCACGCAGACCGTGAGGCGACCTGCTCAGCTGAGCCCCTGCCGCCCCGCCCCGCCCTGGCTGGCCAAGGTCCCGAGGGCGCTCCACGTTGGAAAGATTGAGCATTAGTGAAGTGACAGCAGACTCTCAGTGCGAGGGGAGCAGTGCAGAATCTGCAGCGGCAGGGCCCTGGCCGAGGGCGTCTAACACGACGCCCGGCACATCTAATTCTGGCGCACATTCTTAGGGGGACAGGAAATGCTTTCTGAGAAAATGGGAGGAAAAAATAAACACCCTAGGTATCGCGACGGTTTGTGGCTCTAAAATCCACCTGACAGACTGCACACCTCGGCGCTCAATTTCTCTTAGGGAATATTAAACCCAACCGAAGTTTACAATAAAAACAAACAAAGAAATGCTGACCTAAGGGAACGTGGTAATTCCCAAACTATTAGTTTAGACTTACAATTAGAATTTTAAATAATTGATGCTAGATATTATTTTTACTGGAAATGTACACAAGTAGGGCGTGTTATACTTTAACACCACATCTAAGGGCATTCCATTTGCTCCAGATGTTCTATCTTGGCATCATGAACAGGGTTTCACGAGGCTTTGCTGGCTATGTTTGAGAGAATCAGATTTATTTATTTATTTGTTTTTTTGGTACCAGGAATCAAACTTAGGACCTTGTGCTTGCCAGGCAGGCGCTTGTGCTGCTGAGCTACATCGCCGGCCTGAGAGAATCAGATATTCAATTTATAAATAAAGCTTACATGTTTGTGGATGGTTAAGTACGTTTGTAAATGCAGTGAAGGAAATCTCTTTTAAATCACTTAATTTATAATATGTGACATTTGCCTGCTGTATTTGAAGAACAGTTTTTAAAAAATTCATAGATGTAATAAATCAAATACTAACTCAAATACATATGATGCCTTCTAAGCATAAAAGCTACATTTAGTAGAAAAATTTTAGTCACAAAGATGTTCCTCTATCCCATGTCAAGCCTGCAGATTGCTCTTTACTTTTTCTTTTCTTTTTTACCTCTTTTTAAAAGAATTATCTTGGGCTGTATATGAAATATATAAAAAGGCAAAAAGTGTGGTCTACAGGTTGGACATGAGTGCCACATCCTGTGTGTGTGTTTGTCTGTCTGTTTGTTCATTTTTGGTGGTACTAGTGATTGAACCCTGGGTGTTTACATATGCTACATCCCCAGCCCCTGAATTTATTTTCTGGTTAGTTTGCTTCTGTGACCACACTCTGACTCTCTCTGCCCACAGGACAGGCCTTATTTGTTACCGTACGCCAGCATGCTGCCCAAAGCCTTGAGCCTGCAGGGATCAGTACATAAATAAAGCAGCCCTATAGGGCTCCAAATGCACAGGGCGGGCAGCGCTCTCTCCAGGGACCCAGGGCGTAGCAAGAGGGCGCGGACGCCAGGATGAACTTACGGCATTGGCATTTCCTCCCACTTGCATGCACCGCAGCTGAAACCATGACCAGTTGGAATCCAGCTCTGTAGATCTGGAAGAAAGAATGCTGTCAGCGTTAACACCTTTCTTCTCCAGAACCAAACCCCCGAGCTTCCGAAAAACAGCTCCTTGGGCTTTAGTAGCCTAAGGAGTTGTGGTTTCTGGGGTGCTAGGGCTTCTGGGTGTGTGACAGTTGGCACGAGCAGCCCCTGGCCTCCCTTGTCCTTGCTGGCAGCCGAGGCCTCGATGGCCCAATGGCCTATCCTGTACCCAGCCTGTAGGCAGGCTGTGCCGGGCCAGCAGCACCGGCGTCATGTCAGCTCTAGGCGCCACCTCCTCTGGGCCAAGGGAGGTGAAGGTCTTTGTGGGGCTGCCCGGCCTTTGCCTTCCCCCCAGTGAGTGAGGAGCTAAAACCTGGTGACACGACTGCATGCAACTGGACTCTCTGTGTGGACTCTCTCAGGCCAGGCAGGCAGTCATGGCTCGAGAAGCCCCCAGGGGCCTGCATGATGATCCAGCAAGGAGGCCAGAAATGACAGGATTCCCAACAACACCTTACCAAGGGGCCAACTGAATGCAGTCCTCTCTCCTGGATCCCAGGCAGAAGCAGAGAGCAAGGCTGTCCCCACCAATACAGCAGCCGACCCAGCTAGCCCCGGAGGATGTGGGCATTCAGAACGACTGTGGGTCGGACATGTTTGACAAAGTGGACAGAGTATAAGGCAAGGGGACAGGCTTCAGACTTGCGAAGATTTTCCTTTTGAGCTGCCCTTCCACTGACTTGTTTCTATGCCACTTGGTATCATTCAGCCTTTGTAAATGTTTTTAGAAGTATAAGTATGTTTAAAAAAATTTTTTTTTTCTGGTACCGGGAATCGAACTTACAACCTTGCACTTGCCAGGCAGGCACTGTGCCGCTGAGCTAAATCCCCAGGCCCTAAAAATTTTTTTTTTCTTTTGTTGTTTTTTGAGACAGGGTCTCACTTCATAGTTCAGGCTGGCCTGGAACTCACAGCAATCCTCCTGCTTCAGCCTCCTGAGTGCTGGGATTATAGGCATGCACCATCACACCTGGCAGTCTCTGTAAATGTTAGCAGCTATCTTAGGTAACACTAACTTCAGATTAATACTAATGCAGTGACAAATTCCCTTTATAGTGATGTATACAAAGTAGAGATTTAATCACACTGTATAAGAAATATGGCTGGGGATATAGCTCAGCAGCACAGTGCCTGCCTGGCAAACGAGGTCCTGAGTTCGATTCCTGGTACAAGAATCAAAAAAAAAAAAAAAAAAAAAAAAAAAGAAATAGATTTCCCAAACAAATCAAAACAAAACAACATGCTCTCTGGTCAGAATTTCTGATCACCAAGCAAGATGAGGAGCCAGATCCTGCCAGGTTCCACCGCCTCAGAGAGCACCCCCCCGCACAGGCATCCGTAGCCAGCTCTGTCCCAGGGTAGGAACTGGCAGCAGTCTCTGTGGGACAGACTGACTGCACGCAAGCCCCAACTTGGCCACTCTCTCGCTATAGGATCTTAGAGACGTGACTTCACTGCTCATGCCTTACTTTCCTCCTCTGCCAAGTACAGGTACGAAAGTGATACTGTTTATTTTGCTCTTGCAGAAAGTAAATGAGCTAACATCTGAGAAGCTGAAGACTGCTGCTTGGCTCGAGGTAGACCTCCTGTGGCTAGGAGTCTGTGACTCTCATCGCCTGCTCCCCTCCAGCTCCTAGGACAGCACGGCGCACTGAGGGCTGCTGAATGCAGCTCTGTGTCCTCACACAGGGCCTAAGCACCCAGGCAGGTCAGCCGCCTTCTGAGTTCTGGTTCCAGGCTTCACAGAAAGAAAGCCATTTCTGTGCATGTTGCAGAAATGAAGGTAGAAACCAAAAAGGAATTTGTTCCCGGACTGAGCTCCGGGAATTCTCCGGGGTCGCCGCACTTGGGGGTGAAGGGGGCTGCTGGGAATTCTACTTTCAGTCCAGGGCTTTACTTTGTGGTGTGAAGACCTGAACCCACAGCCCTGTCAATGCAGGCAAACACTCTACCACTGAGCTACACGTCCCGCTCATCCTTCAACCCGGATCAAGGGGTACGTGAAAGCTCCGAGTGTTAAGCAAAGCAGAGAAAGTAAGAAAAGCTAAGGAATGAATCAGTGTCCCTTTAACAAATAACTACCATAACCAGTAAGGTGAGTGGGAAGACAGGCTTCCAGAACCTCTGTAACTCTATGTGTCCAACATAACCTCCTTCAAAACTGCATGAATCAGCTTTGCCAAAGTCACCGTGGTTTTTTTCTTTTTCTGTCTTTTTGAGACAGGGTCTCACTATGCAGTTCAGGCTGCGCTTGAGCTCCCTTTGTAGCCCACGCTGGCCTAGAACTCTCAACGATTGTCCTGCCTCAGCCTCCCAAGTGCTGGGATTACAGGTGTGCCACCACACCTGGCAGTCATTGTGGTTTTTGTTTTGTTTTTTCTTTTTCTTTTTTTTTTTTTTTTGTGGTACCAGGGCTCAAACTCATGACCATGCGTTTGCCAGGCAGGCACTTATGCCACTGAGCTATATCCCAAGCCCGGTCATCGTGTTTTTTGTAGTTAAATAGATCTCAGAAACTTATGAGACCAGAGTGAATCTAAGTCAACAAAACAAAGTTTTCATGGAATTGAAATTTAAAATGGAGTAAATCCGACCACAGTTGTTCCTCCCCAAGACCAGCTCAGGGCAGCTTCTCACTTGCGGACTGTGTCCTACAGGGTCACCAAAGGTGTCCCTGCTACGGCAGCGGCAGCACCGTGACAGGCGCTCCTGTCTCCTCTCCGTGGGTCGTGTCCGCCTGGCAGGCAGCAGCTGATCCCATCTGGGCACCGCTGGTGCTGGCCGGGCCTGGCTGTGGCCGGGCTTACAGGGCTTCATCCCCGTGTCCCCCAACCCCCCACAGCGAGGCCATGTGTCCTCAGCACCACACTCTCGGGGAGAAACACAGAGGTGCAGCCCGGAGCCATCAGGGATGGCCCTCGTGACAGTGGCCACAGCCTCCTTCTTGGTCTCCCTGCGGCTGTGCCTGCACTGCTCAGGCCAGGTCACTTGTTCCCTGCGTCACTCGGGAGGACCTCCGCAGGACAGTGAGAGCTCCGACCTGGCAGACAGTTGGACACCCAAAATCACGGACCCCTCCCCTGTGGAACCTGCCTTCTCCTCCTCTTCCTAGGCATATGAGAATCCGACCACAGCTGGGAAGCCGGTTCTACGTCAGGGCTTCTTTCCCAGAGACAGAAGGCTTAAACATTTATCAGCAGCTGGGCACAGTGGTGCACGCCTATAATCCCAGCACGGGGGAGGCTGAGGCAGGAGGGTCGTTGTGACCCTGTCTTGCAAACCCAAAATGGAAAAAAGGAAGGAAAGGAGGGAGGGAGAGATGGAGGGAGAAAGGAAAGAATCAGCTACGAAGCCCTTCATTTTTCCTGATCCTACGTCTCCTCTCAAAGTCTCAGTGCAGATCTCCCCTTTCCCTGCTGTGGGTCTGTGGGCAGATCTCACCAACCTTCAAAGCTGGCTGCAAATGTTCCTCAGCTTTCAAGCTCTCCTTGATTTTCTTACACAGACCTTAGCTTCCCTCTTGCATGCAGAAGTTTACAGCCCATCCTATTTGCCTTTGTTCCTCGACTCACAAATACTTAATGGGGAACTTGAGAAGAAACAGCTAGAGGGCAAGGTGCAGTGTGACAGGCGACATCCAGCAGCACAGGAAAGAGCTGCGCCCTCTGAGGTGTCGCCAGGGCCCATCAGGCTTCAGAGCCTCAGTCACCGCCCAGAGCAGCCTGCATTACTGTACTCCTAACCTGCCTCCCGCGTTCCTGGAAGACGTCACAGTTTATAATTGTTTTTTCCTGTGTAAAAACTGTTGCCTTGAAATTGTACTTAAGAAAAAATAAACCCCACTTAAATAAACATCCCATCTACACCGCGCTGTTACCAGGCCCTGCTGGGGTGGGAGACTGCAGGGCAGGGCAGGCTCCGGAGCAGAGGGAATTTATCCTACTTCATATACTTTGGGTGCTTGGATGTGTCTTCCCAGTTTCTAGAGTCTGTAAGGTTTCCTAACAAAAATTCTAAAGAGGAGCCCTTCCCCGCTAAAGACAAAACCCACACTCATTTTTTTTTTTTTTAAGCCAGAGACTGCGTACTCCAGGCAGGCCTTGAACTTCCTATGCAGCCCCTGCTGGTCTCGAACTGCCAATGCTCCTGCCTCAGCCTCTGAGGGCTGGGATTACAGGCGCATACCCCAGACTTAGCTCTGAGGACCATCTCAGCTTTTCTCGCGTCCACACCAATACTGCTGTCTTCGGGTCTTTGGGTTAAACAGCAGATTTTAATAGCTGTGCTTGAATCATTTATAAGCACTGTGAGTCATACAGTTATGTTTACTTGAAGTCTAGTGGTTAAACCACCCCAGCCCAGACAGATCCTGCTGTCCGGGCCTCTTGGTCTCTAGGCCAGTCCTGCTTTCAGCAAGGAACATGGCAGAAAAACACCTGATCTTCTGCGAGCGAGTGTGGAGGAAGCAGGGCCGGTTTTCTCTAGAGGAATAGGAAAGAGCACGGTGCAGATAGAAAGGAGGGCACCAGGGCTGGGATATAGCTCAGTGGCACAAGAGCCTGCGTAGCAAGTGCAAAGTCCTGAGTTTGATTCCCGGTATGGAAAAAAAAAAAAAAAAAGGAAAGGAGAGCACCAGGCACGTGGCTCATGCCACCTTCAGGTGTCTGCGGGAGCTGCCATATGCTAATTTACCGATCAGTGCAGGGACAGGGACATTAAAAAAAACCCTGGGATGAGCTGGGCGTGGTGGTGCACGCCTGTAATCCCGCACTCAGGAGGCTGAGGCAGGAGGATCCTGTGAATTCGAGGTCAGCCTGGGCTACAAAGTGAGCTCAAGGCCAGCCTGAACTGCAGAGCAAGATCTTGTCTCAAAAAAACCAAACCAAAACAAAACAAAAAACCTCTGGGCCAGCAGGTAGCTCAGTGGGAGCTTTGCATGTGCAAGGCCCTGGGTTTCATCCTCAGCACCAAAAATGAAAAAATAAAATTGACTAAGTAGGAAAGAACAGTGTTTTTGACACCTAGCACTGGGAAAACTAGACACCCTCACACACCAAAATGAAGTTGTACTCTTAACTTGCAGACCACAAACAAACATTAACTGAAAATAGGTTAAAGATATGGATTGCAGGTCTAAAACTATTGAGGTCTGAGAAGAAAGCTTCATGGCGATGACTTCTTGAATAATGCACCAGAAGAACAGGCAACAGAAGAAAAACAGAGAAAATGGACTTCATGATAAATTTCAAGTTTGTGCAGTGCTGGGCATGGTGCCACATGTCTGTAATCCCAGCCCTTGGGAGGCTGTGGCAGGAGGACTGCAGTGAGTTCAAGGACAGCCTGGGCTACATAGTGGGTTCAAAGCCAGTCTAGACTAAAGAGAGAGACCCTATCTCACAAAAAAAAAAAAAACCGAAAAGAAAAAAGTTTGTGCATTAAAAGAATTATCAACAAAGTAAAAAGGAAACTCACAAAATGGAGAAAATATTTGCAAATCATGTATTTGATGAGTGATTAAGTATCTGGAAAATGTACAGGATTTCTAAAACTTAACAACAAAAAACCAAACAATTTGATTCAAAAATGGCCAAAGAAGCTGAAGAGGCATTTTTCGAAGGTGATATACAGATGGTCTTAAGCGGACGAAAACGTCAACTTCCGTAATGGTTAGGGAATTGGAAATCAAACTACAATGAGACACTGCGTCATACCCACTAGGAGGGCTGTTACCAAATAGCTACAAAATCAAAAGAACAGGGCTGAGGATGTTGCTCGGGGTTAGAGTACTTGCCCTTGGTTCTACCTCCAGGGCCATGAGGAAGAGAAGGAAAGAAGGAAGGAAGGGAGGGAAGGAGGGGCGCGTAGGGGCGAGGACGGGGGAATGGGAAGCCTTGCGCTGTTGGGAGGAAGGCAAAGCCGTGCAGCCGCTATGGGAAACAGTATGGTGGCTCCTCAAAAGACCAAAAGCAGAATTACCATCTGACCCAGTCATCCCGCTCTGGGTACATGCCCAGAAAAATTCAAAGCAGGTTCTCCAAGAGACACGTGTACAGGTGCATTCAAAGAAGCTCTGTTCACAGAAGCAGACCCGATGTTTCCCAGTGGACGAGAAGGCCGCCAGATAGGCCAGGCGCGCAGGGTGGGACGGTGCTTAGCGTAAGGGCGTTCTGGCCTATGCCACACCGTGGTTGAACCTGGAGGGCACTAGCTAAGCCATGGACAAAAAGTACCTGTTCACACAAGGTGAAGACATGAAAATTACAGGGACCGAAAACAGATTGGTAAATCAGGCATGGTGGTGCACGCCTGTAATTCCCACTCTCCAGAAGTCTAAGGCACAGGGATCAAAATTTCGAAGCCAGGCCGGGGATATAGCTAAGTGGCACAGCGCCTGCCTGGCAAGTGCAAAGTCCTGAGTTAGACTCCTGGTGCCAAAAAAAATTTTTTTTCAAAGCTAGCAAGACCCTGTCTCGAAAATACAAAGTAAGCTGCAGTCACTGAGCTGCTGCTGAGGACTCAGCTGCTACCCCTGGAGCCCCCGACTTCCCGGCCATCTGTCTCCCCCCCACCTTCTCCTGCAGCTGCCTTCCGCAGGCGTTTCCACCAAGGTAAGGAATCCTATCACATGCCCACCATCCAGAACCTCCACTCTTTCCACCCCTTTGCTGATGCAAGTAAGGGGGACGACCTGCCTTCCGGCACGGAGGCTTACATCTGTATCAGAATCCCACAGAGAAGCGGCAGGAAGACCCTCACCACTCGCAAGGGATCGCTCACGATTACGATAAAAGAAACTGGTGAAGGTGTAGAAGAAGAAAGCATCCAGAGTACAGAAGTCACTCGGCTGCAGGCTGACAGCGAAAGAGCACATGCCGGTTCCTGGTGGAGATCGGTCTGGGTGAGGACGGTCAGCCGAAGGGTCGGGGTGATAAGTGCTTGTGGCTCACTGAAGCTGAAGTGAGGATTTCGGAGCAGTGAGGAAAACGCCCCCTCAGTCCCCTGTCACAAGTTTAAAACCTCACAGCTTGTCTAATGTCACCACTGGGGTCCGCTTTCACTTGGACTTGTGTAACTCCTTTATGCAATAAACTGAAAAGAACCAAAAAAACCCAAAAACAAGCAAAAAGTAAAAGCCAGGCAGGGTGGTACACTCTGTAACCCCCGGTGCTCAGGAAGCTAACGCAGGATTGCTGAGCTCTAGGCCAGCCTGGGCTACGTAGTGAGTTCGAGGCCAGCCTGAACTATATAGCTAGGGCCTGCCCATAAATAAATAAATAAAAACTTCTTTTAGAAAGGGTGGGTTGGGGATATAGCTCAATGTGAAGACCCTGGGTCCAATTCTCAGCACTACAAAATAAAACGAAATTCATATATACAGATATTTCTTGTTTAATGACCTACCTGTTTAATGACTGGTTGCGCTCAGACTGAGGCATGCTGTCTGGACTTACAACACACTGCTCGGACTTAATGACCAGAGCCCCAATGTCTTTTTTTGTACAGTAGACCTTGTTTCTACAATACTGCAATTTTTGCTGATTATGCTGTACAGTACAGTCCTGTAGTTTTATATTGTTATACATTACAGTACTGTACGGAAGAGTTACGCAAATAAAACCAGTCATCAAGTTGGAGTTTCCTTTGACCATTTCTTTGTTCTGAATATTGTAGTGTACATACTATCTACAATTCCTCATTTAGTGACCAATTCCCTTAACAACCTAATCACAGGAACAGAACCTGGTTGTTAAACGAGGACTGCCCATATATATATATGTATATGTGTGTGCGTAGATATACGCATGAGCTCTACTATCATAGCAGTGGAGGACAGGGCGCTCTGAGCTATTATGTAATGGGCGCAGAGTTCCAGTTTTACAAGATGCAAAGAGTTAGGAAGTGGATGGTAGTGGTCACACAAGTTATGAATGAATTCAGTAAAACTGAACAGGGTACTGGAAAATAGTTAAGATGATAAATTTTACCATAAGAAAAAAAAATGCACAAACTCTCCTGGGCAACTAAATCCCTCAGCTTTAAAAAAAAACAAACAAGGACAGGATAGTATACTCAAAAGTTCTGAGACCAGAGTCAGCAACAAAAAAAGGAAAAGAAAGAAGAAAATGAAGAATGCTCTGGAACCAGGAAGGACACACAGCACGGCTCCCTTAGGAAATGAGCACCACACAGCAATGCGACTATCCATATTTAGCCCGCTGAGCCTTTACAAACTGATTTCTAAAAACCTCCCTGCACCAAGGAAATTTTTAAAAATATTTCAAAAAAGAAAACTATGTCATAATTACTACTATATAGTTTTGGTACTATCACACAAACTGTCTCATTACGGAGCTGTAACTGATTTTATCCAATGAGAATGATGCTTCTCTATAGCGATCCCACTGCATCAATCTTCCTGAAGTCATGATATGAATAAACTGCTGGCAACAGTGCCAAATCGCCTTCTTAGTGGGTTCTTTCCTGGAAAAGCAGAGGCCGGGAAACAGGCAAGCTGGATGGGGAGGCAGAATTCTGCACCTCTGCATGGGTGTTGCTGGTGACAGCTGTGCAGGCCCTGCTGAGCTCCCAAGCTCTTAGCCTGGCTGGAGACCCCAATTATTCATGATCTCAATTTCCTTTACCTCACACAGCACCCTTTCTGCCTCCCTTGGATCTGTTCCCGGGGCGCCCTTCTCTAACGCCCACCAATCCTCATGGAGGCCATGGTGTCCAAATGGAAGAGAATTCACTTGCTGCCCAAGTCCTCAGAGGAAGAGAGAAGGAAGACCTTGACATCATGAACATGTGAAATTGCCACTAAAAAGCCAATGAAGTCATTCACTCAGGCCACACACGGCTGCTGTCCTTGGGAGCCAGTGCTGGAGGATTATGTTGGAGGTGACACAGGCCTCACCATGGCTTCCTTTGTCACGACTCCCTCCCCACGTGGGGTGTAGGAGGGATCTCCAGCACCTCAGCGTCTCTTCTTCCTGGAGTGGGTGCTGTATGTCCTATCTTAAGAGAAGACATTGAAGGGAAAGGAAACACTGCCTCAAAACCCTCCATTCTACCTAGGTGTGGTACACACCTATAACCCCACCACTCTGGAGGCTGGGGCAGGAAAAGCACAAGTTCAAGCTCAGCCTGGGCAGTTTAGTGACTTAGTGAGAGCCTGACTCAAAATAAAAAATAAAAAAAGCCTGAGGATACAGCTCAGTGTGAGGGCCCTTGGTTTAATCCCCAGTATTACCATCAAGAAAGAGAGAAAGAGAGAAAGAGAGAAAGAGAGAGAAAAGAAAAAGAGAGAAAGAAAGAGTGAAAGAGTGAAAGAGAGAAAGAGAGGAAGGAAGGAAGGAAGGAAGGAAGGAAGGAAGGAAGAGAGAGAAAGAGAGAAAGAAAGAGAGAAAGAAAGAAAGACTGACTGATTGTCTTCAACATCACTGCCTCAAGTCTCTGGCTAGGTCTCTCTAGACAGGACCTGAACAGGAAATACCTTGCTTCACAGCTTAGGTAATCACATTTCAGTCTCCACACTCACAGCTGACCCAGCATGTTACGTGATGTCCAAGAAAACACAATGAGAGAGGGAGGGGACACCATGTGACAGCGGAGGCTCCCGCCCAGGGAAGGAAGATGCACTTACCGAATAAAACTCAGGTGAACACCGAGAGACCGGTGCGACCCTGAGCAGTCGATGCAGAGAAACACCCCGTAGGTTATGCTGGCCCAGCTGGGGTTTTTAGCGCCACAGTCAAAGCATACCTGAAAGAAAAATGTGAAATTCAGTTATTAATTAATTTATATTAGCTGGATGAGTCATAGGGCACAGTAAGAGCACCGCTTAACCTTTACAACTGAAACTTTGGCTATTACAAAATATCTCAGGTAGGTTTTATAAAACTTCAAATTTATATCTGTTATTATGATACTGAGATATTATTTTTCATGATAATGATATATTATCAACTCTAAGTTATTAACACAGGTGACTACATCGTACTAACTTTCCAGTCTATCATTATGTATCTGTCAGGACACTATGCACTGTCCCCAGGGAAGGCCAGGACTCTGTGAGCCTGTCCAGACATTCCCTGTCCTGAAGGCTCGGCAGGGACCCTGCAGTCAGTCACATCAGGGAACACCTCAGCTTTTCCCATCCCAGGCCTGGGCAGTGGTTTGTTCCACACGGCCACTGTCTGGGTGCTTCCTCTCCTGAGCGGGGGAGATGGGTGTATCAGCCAGGTGGCTCAGTGATGCCCAGCTCCGGGTTTTCACGCGCTTGTGCAACCTCTGCCTGACCTCCCAGTGTGGGCTGTGTGAGCAAGAATCATGGCAGAACAATGGAACCTCACTTCCAAGATTTGGCTACAAAAGACACTGTGACTGCCTCTCCGTCCATCTGATCACTGGCTCTGGGAGAAGGCAGATACCACGACCCAAGGACATCCAGACAGCCTCGAAGAGAGGGTCTGGTGGCAAGAAATGGGAGAGAAGTCCTGGCTGACAGCCAGTGGGGAGCAGACACCTGCCCACACTATTCAGGGCATCACAGCCTCATGAAACCTGGGGTCAACCCAGCCACCAACACCACCTCACATCCTGACACCCAGAAGACCTGTGCACATGCGCATGAGAGAACACAGTCCGTTGTCCTAAGGTACTGTGTGTGGGGTAACCTGACGGGCAGCAACAGGTAACTGATGCAGAGTGTTGCTCCTCTGTGAGACACCATCTCACGTCTGCCCAGGTCACTCAGAACCCTCAGGACACAGCACATAGCTAAGGAATGTGTCCTCCACCCACTGAGGGCCCCCCAGGTCCTACAGGTCTGGCCTTGTCCCTGTCACCTTGCTTTCTTTCTCTGTTAGCACACGGCGGTAAGGAAAAGCTCAGTGTTCGGTGAGCAGATCTGGATTTTCAGAGTCTGAAAAACAATGCTTTACTCATAATAAATGATCCATAAATATTTGTTAATCAAGTAAACACTCTGTGAAACTTGTAGCCAGCTGAAAGTTACCAGTAGCCCCTACAACGCTGCCCCTGAAGTCAAACACTCTTTACATGCCAAGTAGATAAGTGTACTTTAAATACACAGTTCTCATCACAGAAATTACAATGTATAGTTAATTAAAATCGAAACAACTGTTAAAACTCTACAAGTAGGAGAATTTTCTTAAAGTTTTTTAGAAAATAAAAATTAGTTTTAAACTGGGTGTGGTGGCACATGTCTGTAATCCCAGCACTCAGGAGGCTGAGGCAGAAGGATCACCGAGAGTTCAAGGACAGCCTGGACTGCATAGTGAGACTCTGTATCAAAAAAAAAAAAAAAAAAGAAAGAAAAGAAAGAAAGAAAGGAAGGAAGAAAGAAAGGAAGGCAGAAAGAAAAGAAAGTAGTAGAAAGAAAGAAAT